CCTTGGCATATCGGGATAACACTTTAATCAACTGAGTTACCCAGCCAGGGCTAAGATGTACAGCATTTGGTTTGAATTTTGTATGTTCAGATATATTTTTATCTACCATGTTTCATCAGTCCTAAGACATTTTAATATCTGAAATGGATAGGTGTTGTATAGTTTAATTGGTAGTATTTTTTAATTTCATCAAATAATGGTCTATCATATAGTTTATACCATCTTAGATTTGACTAAAGACAATATTTAGAAATGTGTTAAAAAGTACTCAGTGAGGTGAATATATACCAGATTTTAAAACATCGGGTTCTACAAACATATTAATATGTATTCTCGTTTAATAATTGAATACTAAGCAGTTGTTGTAAATTTAAACTTAAATGTATTTTGGTGAAATAATTTTTAATCTCATGCAATATTTTGAAATATTTATATTAGACAAAAATAAAATTGCTTTACCTGATAAACCTTCATTTAAGCAGAAGCATATTATCTTCTGATTTTTTTCCTGTGAATTATGTAAAAATAATTTTATTTAAAAATATTTGTGTAATTTCACATTATCTGAGGATATAATTCAGTTCTAAAATTTTGTAAATGTACATCATATGACTTGATATCAGTAAGTGTGTATTCTTGACATTTTTTTATATCATTCCTGCTGATGGTATTTACAGTAGAATTGTAACTACTGTTTTTGAAATAGCCACAGAGGGTGGGGAGGGCAGTATGGATCCGTTTAGGATTAAGGGACAAGATATTTTGAGTGAATAACTGTGATAGGGGATTAATGAGTCATCAGATTCGTTTCTTTACCGAATGAGTGTTTGTTCAGATGACAGGAATTCCACTGATGATGCCCGGAGCGGAGCAAGTGCATATAGTCCAGAATAGAGCGTAGTAAAATAACTGCATAGAATTAACTTCATTTACTTTTGGAAGACTTTTCTTATGTTACTATTCTAAAGTATTATGCTACTAATAACTTTATAAGGTAACAAAGCCCAGGGAATTTAAAGCATCAGTTGTAGGCTGTCTTTGGATCCCTACTGATGTACCTTTGAAAGCTTTTGATAATTACAGTCAGTGCATGTGTGTTGATATTAATTCTGTGTTTTCACATATACACAGTTAATATCATTCATGTACTTAAAAATAACTTTATATAATGTTTTAAATATGTGATATAGTTTACCCTAATATATGACAATTAGCCTCTTTCAAGTTTTTGCCTGCTAAACTTTTTTGTCCAGGTTACTTTTCCACCTGTCTTTCTCCCCTTCAGTTGCCTGTTTTTATGTAACAAATCATCTCAAAACTAAATGGCTGCAAACACTGATTTATTCTTTCTCATGATTTCAGTGTTGACTGGATGGTTCTGCTGGTCTCACTTGACCTGGTGATGGGCTGGGCCTGTTGCTCAGGCGCGTTGGTTTCACTACTTACGGCCACTCTGGTGGCCTGTTTGGATTTCCTCACTTCCTGGTAGTTATCAGGGTGGTCAGACTTACATGGTGGTTGACTCCAAGAAGACTAAACAGAGACCATGAGGCCTCTGAAAAGGCTAGCATTACCAATACCTTCCAAGTACTAGGCCCCTCTCTGTTTGTCCAGAGGTGATCACTATCCTGATTTTGGTGTGTGTTCCACAAACACCTTTGTACTTTCACTACAAATGTGGGTACGTACTCATGAACAGTATGAAGTCTGTTTATATACAGTCATGCACCGCTTAGTGATGGGGTTATGTTATGAGATATGCATTAGGCAATTTGTTGTCACGCAAACATAGCTTGTACTTACACAAACCTAGATGGTATATAGTCAACCACTAATTTTATGTGCCATATTTTTTATATAACTGGCAGTGGAGTGTGTTTACACCAGCATCACCACAAACACGTGAGTAATGCATTTCACGGTTAGGTTACGATGGCTACGACCTCACTAGGTGTTAAGCTTCATTATAATCTTGGGGACCACCGTCATTATATGCACAGTCTGTCGTTGACAAAAATGTGCCTATGTGGTACATGACTGGAAAGCTTTTTCAGTTTATTTTTTCTTTGTAGTTGTGATAAAATATATATAACCTAAAATTTACCATCTTAAATGCCTTTAACGGTACAGTTCAGTAATGTTAAGTGTATCCACATTGTTGGGCAACCAATCTCCAGAAATTTTTCAATTTACAAAACTGAAACTATGTACAGATGAAACAGCACCGTTCTTAAAATTTTAGCACTGATTGATACTTGCAGCTCTACCTCTTTCATTTTAATTGCAACAGTATTCTGTCATTGATTATACCATGTTATGTTTAAGTTCCTAAAATTTTACTATTGGAAATAGTGATTAGTGAGCATTCTCGTTTCTGCCTCCCTGTGAACACTCCCATGAGTTTCTCTAGCTTTATGCCTGGATCTCTGTAATTATTACCAGTTTCCTCACCAAAGTAGTTTTACCAGTTTATCTGTCCCCAGGAGTGAGTGAGTTTTTATTCCATACATTCTCGTTAAACCAAGCATCGTCATACTTAGTATTTGTCAGTCTGGTGGATGGCAACTGTGGCTTTAACTCCTGTGTCTCTGATTGTTCACCCGTTTCCTCTGGTGTGAATGTCTTTATTCGCAATTGTCTTTCCCTTGTTGATTCATAGGGTGAATTCTCTCTACATTCTGGATGCTAACATTTTGCCTGCTATGTTACTCATATCACCTTTTGGTCTGTGGCGCTCTTCATTTGTCTTTTGTTGAACTTGTTTTTATTTTACTTTTGGTTTGTGCTTTTAAAAATTTTATTTAAGAAATCCTTTCTTGTATCCAAGGTAAAAAGATATTTTATCCCGTTTTCATATATTCATATATCTGTTTCGAGGCTTTTATTTTCATTAGTCTGTTGATTCCTGAGCTAATTTCACATTATCTTAATTAATTTCTTTGGCTGGTGGTGATAATATCTAGGGAAAGTATCCCCTTTATTTTCTTTTTCTTTAAAAATTTTCTCCAAACTCTTGCCTCTTAAGTCTTCCATCAGAATATTAGTCAAGTTCCAGGACTTGCTATTGGAATTTCAGTTTAAATGGAAAGAATCTATAGATTAATTTGAGAACTTAACATCTGTGCAGTGAGTTTGTCTGGTAGCTAGATTGCTGTACGTATTTTGTTTTTCATGTTCTCCCTGACATCTTACATATTTTCACCTGGATGATTTCTGCCAAGTGGGAAGTAGAACTGGGAACTGGACCTGGGCAGCCTGACTCCTAGATCTGTGCCATGATATGCTGCTTGTGTTGCTTTTAATACTGTGTAACTGAAGGGTTAAAAGAGTGACTTTGGTCTAAAAACTGGCAAGTCACGTAACTTCTTTAAACCTGAGTTTCTACAACTGTAGAATGGATGCTTTTAGGATTAAAATGGGATAATTTAAAATATCACACAGTGTATGCTAAACAAATAGTTATTATAATCACAGTAGTTATAATAATTACTACTATTGTTTTTGTGATTTATAACAGCTCCATATTTCTGTGGCCCAAGATTTCCAAGCATTTTTTGTGCAACACAGTATATGAAGTGGCTAGTGTTTTAAGTTACAGTACTTATTAGTTTTTGATTATATGTCTAGAAGGATTACTGTGAAAGAGATATTTTGGTTTCAGCAAGAGACAGAATTGTACAAAATGACAGTTGCTTTAAAGAAGATACGACTTCTTTCTCTGTGCTTCATAATTGCTTGTGTGTGTGCACAAGAGAGAGAGTGTGTGAGGACGTGCTCCCTCCCGCCAGAGCCAGAGAAAAGGTTCTGCAGGCATTGACCTAATTTTTTGAGGATTTGTGCAGTGGGGCTGGAGGGTGTTTCATGTTAGATGCTGTTGTGAACAGAGAAAACCACAGGGTCCATTTTTTTGGAGAGGTTAGGCCAGTTATCCTGGAAAAGTTTGTGATAAATTGGAAGAACCAGGGTTTGATTCCAGGGATTAGAGGTCAAAATGATGGCAAAGACCAGGTTTCGCGAAAATGAGGGAGCGGGAAACAAAGGCTAGGAGAGTCTGGACAGAGAGAAGATAATCTGTGTTAAGATTTTATTTATTTATTTTTATTATTATTTTTTTTAATATATCTTTGTTGATTTCAGAGAGAGGAAAGGAGAGGGAGAGAGAGAAACATCAATGATGAGAGAGTCATTGATCAGCTGCCTCTTGCACGCCCCTGACTGGGGATTAAACCCCCAACCCAGGCATGTGCCCTGACCGGAAATCGAACCTGGATCCCCTGGATCCTAGGTGGACGCTCAACTGCTGAGCCACGCCCGGCCAGACATCTGTGTTAAGATTTTAGAAATAAAGTAAGGAGGGATGAAGTTAAAGGCTAGAGAAATGGAGGTATGAGAAGGGTTTGTGTAAAATTTGCCAGAGTTTGGGCAGAGAGGCGAAGGGCGTGTCCTAGGAAGTTGTTATATCCATAAGGAATTTTTTTTTAATCGTGTAACTGCCCCAAGTGAGGATTAGTAATTACATACTGGTGCTGACCTGGGAGAGAGAAGACCCCACTGATCAAGGATGAGAACAGGAAAGAGACTAATTGGGGGCTGTGGGTGGGGGATGCTTTTAAGCACTTTAGGAAATAGTACCTTTCAGTACATTTTTAAAAGATGGACATAATTCTGTTCTTCAGAAATCATTAGAGGGTATATGTTAATGAAATTGAACTTCTGTGAACTTTCTGGTCTTGTCCATTTATTCGATGCAGTGTTCTTGGCTAGGAACAAAAATTTCAACTATTTACTTTATAATGATTTCCTCATGATTAATTTGTGTCAGTGTGAAATTAATTAGGAATTTATATACATGTTCCATACTGTTGTTAATATTTGGTACAGTGCTTTCTTTAGCGTTTTCATTTTGAGAGGTTATTAGATTCAACATTTTCTGGAGCAGAATATTTCTTTAGAGGCAATTTTGTTTCGGGGGAAATAATTTATAAAGGCTAATTTGGAAAATGCTGAAATTGAATATGTATAGCTCTTACAACTGTGAGCTTTTTGCATTTACACTGACATTCTTTTGTGTAGGAGTCAAAGTTCCTCGTAACTTTCGCTTGTTGGAAGAACTTGAAGAAGGACAGAAAGGAGTGGGCGATGGTACAGTTAGCTGGGGCCTCGAAGACGATGAAGACATGACACTCACCAGGTGGACAGGCATGATTATTGGGCCACCGAGGGTCAGTGCGATAAGTGATACATTTTCCTATTAATATTTATTTTCACTTTACAGTGAGCATTTTATTTTACAATATTGATATTAAAATAATTATAACTTCTAATGGAAACAATTACTCCCTTTTTGTATATATTTATTGATGCTTCCCTTGTGCACAATCTAATACTTGATTTTCTGGAGTTGGGGGGAAAGGTTGATATGGTCATTGCCAGCAAAGTGTTTGCAGTTTATAGGAGAGAAGAAAAAATAAATACAAATAACGGACTCTATAAACGTGGCAGAGAAAGTTCACTACGGGACTTTAGAATATGTTTCTTCTAGCCGGAATAATTGAGGAAGGCTGAACAGTGGAGGAAGTTGCCTTTGGAATGAGCCTTAAAGAACTGACTGGTAGGATCAGAAGGTGGTGATGGGGATGGAGAACATTCCAGATAGAGAGGAGACAAGGTGAGGCAATGAGGGTGATGGGGAAGAGCAAACAGTGTGTCTTGAACGTAACGTACTAACCCATCATGTGTGACCAGTGATTTCTCAGTTGGTCTCTGTTGAGTGCACATTGCTATTTGCTTTGTGATGCTTGACTTGTCATATAAATGTTATAGGCCCCAGTTTCTTCATTTATAAAATATATGAAAAAGTCTATGATTCTTGATTCTTGAATATTTTCTAGCGATGTTAGGAACAGGCCCATTATGTTTTATTCTTGGGTCTTTGTGAAGTTTTATTTTTACTCAGAATTTTTTCACATTGGGAATTTTTTTTCTACATTGTGTTCTTACTCAAAGGTCCCATCTCTTGCACCCCTGAAGTGAGTCTTTGAAATACATATTGTATAATATTTTGACTTGCTGGAAAAACACACAAATTTGAAGGGTTTTTTTGTTTCACTCTGGTTTTTTGTATACTATTTGCTACCTATGATGAGAACATTTCACCTGTTTTCCTGTTGGGTAGCGTTTAGATATCCTGTTGATTATCACAAAAGAAAAATGGATCAGGTAATCAGCAATGTTAACTTTAAAGAATTAATGTATGTTTTATATTTTCTGGTATTCTTTTGCAAAATTTGTGCATACTACTAAACTAACAAATGCCCCCATTTCCCCCTCTGATTTTTCCATAAGACTTTTAAAGAAGGAAATACAGTATTGATGATCAGAATTTTTGATGTTTTTTGTAACTTGGTACTTATAATGAAAACTTTGATTTTCACTGCCTATGAACATTATTACCATAGTCCATTTGGTTAAAAAAAAGTGCTTATAACATGAACATTTTTACTTAATGAATAGTTTGAACGTTGGACTGTCTGAACTTGAGTATAAACTTCAGATTATTTAGATTTGTTTTTTCCCCCAGCCACTACCTCCAGTGGATTTTAAGAATGTTTGGAGCTTATGTATAAGTTCCTCAGCGATTTTTGTGGGCCGTTTCCAAGCACAGTTCCCAAATATGGAAGACCAGCCCCTGCATGATCTCTGGCACAGTGGTGGCCGCCAGCAGGCCTCTCCAGGCTGGCTGCCTTTCCTGGTGTCACAGAGCCGCAGGAAGCCCCCACGTCTAGGCTGTGCCCAGAGAGGGGCAAATGCTCTTCTACCTTGTGGGGTAGGTAGAGCCAGCTCAGCAAAGGGGGCACATAGACTAGTGCTGCTGACTGCCAGACCAGGCTTCTCTCCCAGTGGGCCCTCTGCTTCCCATGGGGGGCAGTCTTGGAGCACCCTCTCACTCTCGGGTGCCAGGAAGAGGCAGGAGGGGAGTACCGTGCAATGGCCCAGTACTCTTCCTAAGCCAGACTGCTCACACAACAGTTTCCTGCCTTGCATCCTCTCTCCACTTGTCTCCCTCATGTGCCTATGGGACTGTGTGATGAGTGGTCACAGCACTCATTTGCCATTTAATAAAACCTGCTGGGGTTGGTGTCTCATCTTAGTTGTTTTCTGTTTTGAAGGTGCCATATTTAGAGCAATTTTGTCCCCACCTTTAGCTCTCCACATTCAGCCAGGGAAATAGGAAAAGTCTTACCTTAACATACTGTAACTTGGTTAGCTGGTGTTTTGTTTGTTTTATTGCTACTGCTGAAGATTACTGTTTTTTGTGTTATTCCAGTATCTGGGTTTATATGGTTAGCACTTTTGTTTTTCCATGTTTGTGTGTAAGATTTTCTGAAGCAATATTTTTTAGCATTAGAGGTTCAGTTACTTTTCCTTGTATGTTTCTTTATATGTAAATGGAGGTTCTGTATCCATCTTTAGAAGCTTTGAGAATTGAATTAATAATTAGACAATAGGAGAGTATCTGACTCTAGTATAGTCTTAATAATTATTAGTTCCTTTTACTACTCTCTTCTATTTTATTTTATTCTTTTGTTAGATAATAGAAAGATTTGGCTGTTAATTTAAAATTTAGCAGTGAAGAGAAAAATTAACCCAGGGTATCAAAAGTTAGTATGATGTTTACTCTGAGCACTGTATTAGATCAATAGGCTAGCTTATAGTTATTTTAACTTTAAGAAAACTTGAGGTATAATATACATGCATAGATCTTACCGTTAGTTTTGACAAACGTTACCTTGTTACCCACATACTTTTTGAGATAGAGAACAATTCCGTCACCCTAGGAAGTTCCCTGTGCCCCTTCCATGCCATCCCCACCTACTCCCTGCTCTGTGCACCCGGAGTGGTTTTCACTGTTATAGCACTTTGTGTAAGTGAGATCGTGCAGTGTGTTCACTTACCAGTTTGCATCTTTTGACTCAGCGTAATGTCTCAGAGAGTCATCCGTGGTGTTCCATGTAGTAGTAGTGTTTCTTTTTATTACTGAGCAGTATTTCACTTTATGAATATACCATAGTATGTTTAATAGTGCTCCTGATCATGGGTATTTGGATCTTATCTACTTTCTGGCCATTACAAATAAAGCTTCTGTGAGCATTTTTACGTGTCTTTTTGTGAACATATGTCTGTCCGTTTCTCTTGGTTAGAATGCATGGGCATGGAATCCTAACCTAAGGTAGGTGTTTGCTCACTTTACCTTTATAGGAAAATGCCAAATGGCTTATAGCCAGCAGAGTGTGGGAGTTCTGGTGGTTTCCACATACTTTGAGTATCTTTAACATTATGAATTTTGGGGGATCTATTATTATCATTATTTTTAAAATGCAAGTTTTCTAGAGAGGCTGATATGCATCCAGATTGGAGAACCACAGACTAGATGATTTGCTTGAGATCTGTCTGGTTTTAGTTATTTTTATACATAGCAGAAGCGTGGGTCATATTATTAATATTTCTGCCATTAAACTGTGATGAGTTTTATACAGCTGTTTCTTTTTTAAAATACTGAAATATTTACTATCTCTACAAGATCGTTATGCCCATTTATTGTAGACACCAAAGACATTACCTCTGTCCCTTTATTTTTTACTTTTCTATTTTAATTGTATACCAGTAAGTTAACCAAGTGAACAAGTCATGAAGATAAAGAAGAGTTAATTATAGGCATGAAAATAAGCCATGAATAATCTAGAACCATTTGGTCTGGTAGCTTTTACAGTGGCTTTTTTATGGAATGGTTATGTTAAACTTCTCTATTAAGAAATCCTACTTTAAAATGATGTGGAAACAAAGTTTGCTGTTTTATCTCTGAATTCAGGTAATTGAATTAGGCACAAAATTAATGAAGTAGTAATATAAATATCACTGATGACGCATGAAGTAATTGTTTTCTTGCTGTAAAATGGTATAATACAATGTTTTTCCTTTTGCCTGAAGTTATTGATTGCCCTATAGTGGGATAACCATGTAACTTATTTTCCAATCAGATACTTTTGAGAATGAAAAGAACCATTATTAATATTAATACTGGAGCAATAGGATTAAACAGAATTATCCTGGGCAAATGGGAACTTCTGTATGTGCGTGACAGTCAAGTAGTCCCTCCCCCACAATGTAAACTTTTTAGTAAAACCTGAACTTAAGTGGTTTGCTCTTTTCTTTTAATTTGTTATAGGCGTTGTTTGTATCACAAAAAGCAAGTTCTGATCCTTTTGATATGACTATAGAATTATTTTATAAAATCTCTCCTTTTAAGTATACTTGCAGTTTTTTCTAACCATATAGGTCAAATAAATTTGAATGTAGAAAAGTAAATTGGTTACATACACAATATCACGTACTTTCAAATTGTACTTTTCCTCTTTGTTAGCACTTGAATATTATTTTTATTATTTTTTTGCCTTCCAGACAAATTATGAAAACAGAATATATAGCCTGAAAGTAGAATGTGGACCTAAATACCCAGAAGCTCCTCCATCAGTTAGATTTGTAACCAAAATTAATATGAATGGAATAAATAATTCCAGTGGAATGGTAAGTTAAAGTAGTCATTTTATTCTTATATAACCTATAATATTTAGCCAGGAGGAAGTAAAAAAAAAAAAAAAGGCACCTTTGTTTAGATGAAAGTCTAAAGCAGCTTATGTTGTTTTTCTTTTATGAATCAACCCATCCTTACAACCCCCACGTACCAGCCTATTTAGATGTGATAGCAACACTTCTCTTAGGGTTTTATGAATTGCTTCAGCAGTCATATTTCATTGAATCCTTACTTGATGAAAAGATGACCATTGTTTTAAATGTATTTTTTTTTAAATAATAGGGTTAAGTTCTATTTGGTGAAATTAAAATGATGACTATCCATGAAGAAAGGGTTTTTCTTTGAGGATCCAAGTATGTCTGTATTGGAACAAGTAGTCATAGTTGAGCACTTGTTTATTTAAAGCAAATAAACCAAAATGATACACACTACCTGACTCACACAAGAAAGTTAGTGGAAATAGCTAAATTTCCAATATAAGGAGATTGTTAGGTTCAGACTTCAAAGTTTAGGCTCTTGAGGCAAAATGCATGTTAGGAATCATAATAATGTAATAATAAAATGAACTTCACCTTAGGAAATAGAATGTTGTCAATATTCTTAACTCCTGTGTGCTCCTCCTTACCCCATCCCTGTGTTTTCTTTCTCTACCAGTGAGTGGAAACTAACATCTTGAAAACTTTCTTTCAGATTTATTTTTCTGTATAGTTTTACATAATGTATCACACATGTACACCTGTTCTTCCTCACTCCCTCTTTCCTTCCTGTCTACCTTTTTTAAATCATGAATTTGTACTTACACCTGAGGTATGGGGCTCACCTTCAGCTTGGTTGAATATTGCCAAGCTGCGTTCCACAGGGCTGTGTCCAGGTCTGTCCCACTAGCTTATGTGTAAGAGTACCCTGTGAAGGCACATTCCCACCAGTACTTCATAATGTCAAGCTGGAATGGGAATTTGAAAACAGAAGGTAGAGTGGATATATTGGGCATGAGTTTCATTCTTGATTGATATCTAAGAATTTAAATTATTACTTTTATAACTATAATTAGGAAATTTCACATTGACCATCGGTGCTTGTGCCAGGATAATTTTATATATTTTGAGGTTATTTAAGTACTGGATGAATTATGAATGTTGCTTTAGTCATTTTGATTTAAATATACTTAATACAACCAGTCAGAATTACTTTTTGTGGGTGGTTGGCACTAAAGCATAAATGACTGTGCTTTATGATGTGAGGCCTCACGTTTTGGGGTTATTGTAAAGACTGATAAGGCGCAGGTTTGCTCTGACATGTTTGTTTTCCCTTTTCTCCTCCCTTTTCATTAATTTTTGTCCCCAAATTTTGATGCATTCTGTTGGTATTTTACAGGATTTGCAATCACCTATGTTTATTTAACCATCTTTTAACTTTACAGCTGGAAGTGTTTGTTTCTGCATTGAAAAGAACTTGGTATTCTCTCGATTTATTTTATAAACGTGTTTACTTATGGAGTCTATTTAAAATAGGCTAATGGAATTGCTACTCTTAAGTTAAAATATTAGAGAAAGCATTTTAAATACATCTTAACATTGCTTCAATTATGTGTCAGAAATTATAAAAATTATTTTTCTTTCCTATTTTTAAAGAGTTTTATTCTATAATTCACATACCATACAATTCACTCATTTAACGGATAATTCAATACTTTTTAGTTATTCACAGGGTTGTTGGACCAATTACCAAATCCAATTTTAGAACATTTGTGTCTTTCCCAAAGCCAAACCCCTTACCCATTAGTTAATCACTTTCCACCTCACCTCCTCCACACTAAATAACCACTAAATTACTGTCTTTATAGATTTGCCTATTCTGAACTTTTTGTATAAATGGAATCATAAAATATATGCTCTTTTGTGACTAGCTTCTTTCACTTAGCATATTTTCAAGGTTTGTTGATGCTGGAGCATTTATCAGTACTTTATTTCTTTTTATTGCTGAATACTATTCTATTATATGGATATATCACATTTTGTTTATCCATTTATTATTTGGTGGACATTGGGTTTTCCACCTGTGGCTCTCATGAATAATGCTGCTGTGAACATTTGTGCATAAGTTTTTGTGGGGGCAAATATTTTGATTTTTTGAGTGTATACCTAGGAGTGGAATTTCTGGATCCTATGGTAACTCAATGTTTAACATTTTGAGGGACTGCCAGACTGTTTTTCAAAACACATCATTTTACATTCCCACCAGCAGTATATATGGAGGTTCCAACCTTTCCACATCTTGTCAACACTTGTTACTGTCTGTGTCTTTTTATTATAGCCATCTTACTGAGTGTATGGTAGTATTTCATTGTGGTTTTGATTTGCAATGCCCAGATTAGGCTAATGATGTTGAGCACAGTTTCAAATGCTTATTGGCTATTTGTGTATCCTCTTTGGAGAAATGCCTATTCAGATTCTATGTCAGTTTTTTTGAAGCAGTTTAAAACAACGATTTATTATCTCAGTTTCTGTGGGCCAGGAATGTAGGTGCAGCTCCACTGGGTCCTATGGCTTAGGATTTCTCACAAGGCAACAATCAAGATGTTGGCCTGTGCTGTGGTCTCATCTCAATGCTCGACTGAGGAATGTTCGTTCCATTTGCAACCCCAGTGTTTTGGTTGTTGGCAGATTCAGTGCTTTGTGGGTTTTTGAACTGAAGGCATCAGTTTCTTGCACACTGTTGCCCAGAGATCACTCAGTTCCTTGCCAGATAAGCCTTTCTTTAGGGCAGTTCACAGCATGGCAGCTGACGTCCATCTGAGAAGCAAGGAGTGCAGGCAGGAAAGGGTAAGACAGAAGCCGGGATATTTTTGTAACTTACTATCGGAAATGACGTCCAGTCGTTTATTCATTAGAGGCCAGCCACTAGGTGCAGCCTTCCTTGGAAGGAGGGATTCCATTAGGCATGAATTCAGGAGTCGAAGATCTCTGGGAGCCATTTTGAAGCTGTTGTCTTAGTTTGGGCTGCTGTAACAAAAATGCCATAGACTAGGTGGTTTAAATAACAGAAACTTACTTCTCACAGTTCTGGACCCTGGGAGTTCAAGATCAGGGTGCTGTCATGGTTGCATTTTGGTGAGAATTCTCACCCTTGATTGTAGGTGACCGACTGCTTGTCCTCACCTGGAGGTGAGAGCTAGCTCTCTAGTCTCTTTCTCTTCTTGAAAGGATTCAGATCCCATCCTGGGGGCTCTACCTTTATGACCTCATCTAAACCTAATTACTTCCCAAACACCTCAGCTCCTAATACCATCCCTGTGGGGGTTAGGGTTTTAAAAACAGATTTTGAGGGGAACACAAACACGCAGTCCATAAAAACTGCCTACCACAGTCTGCCTCTGCCCATGTTTTAATTGAGGTACATGGCCTTTTGTTACTGAGTTCTAAGAGTTCTTTATATACTGAACAAGAGCCCCTGATCAAATACATGATTTGCAAATATTTTTCCCACTCCATGGTTTGTCTCTTTGCTTTCTGATGGTGTGGTTTGCAACACAAATATTTTACATTTTGATGTAGCCATTTTATCTTTTTTTTGGGGGGGGGGTCAAACATACTTTGTGTTATATCTTAAAAAAAACATTACAAAATCCAGGGTCAGGAAGATTTACTCCTGTTTTCTTCTAAGAGTTTTATGGCTTTCACTCTTAATTTAGGTTTGTGATCCATTTTGAGTACAACTTCATTCCTTTGCATGTGGATATCCAGTTGTCCCAACACCACTAATTGAAGAAACTAGTCTTTCCTTATTTGTATTCTTGTCAAAGATCAGTTCACTGTGTAAGTATGATGCATGGGTTTATTTTTGGGTTCTCAATTATATTCCATTGATAGGTATATCCATCCTTATGTAAGCACTACCTTCTTGATTACTGTAGCTTTGTAGTAACTTTTGAAATTGGAAGAACTTGGTTCTTTTTCTTTATTTTTTTAAAATTTGTGTTATTGTTGAGAGTATTACAGATGTCCCCCACTCCGCTCTCCTTTGCCCCCCTCTACCCCCACTGGAGGCCTTCACCTCTCTATTGTCTGTGTTCATGGGTTAGGCATATATGCTTTTAGGTTCTTTGGTTAATCTGTCCTTCCTGCCTTCCCTCTGAGATCCATCTGTCTGTTTCATGTTCCATGTCCATGGTCCTATCTTGTTCGCCTATTTATTTTGTTCCTTCAATTCCACATATAAGTGAGATCATGTGATGTTTGTCTTTCCCTGAGTAGCTTATTTCACTTAGCATGATACTCTTCAGGTCCCTCCATGCTGTCCCAAAGGGTAAGAGCCCCTTCTTTTTTATAGCTGCATAGTATTCCATGGAGTAAATGTCCCACAGCTTTTTTATCCACTCATCTGCTGATGGGCACTTGGGCTGTTTCCAGATCTTAGCTTTTGTAAATAATGCTGCTGTGAACATAGGGGTGCATGTATTCTTTCTGATTAGCGTTTCAGTATTCTTAGGACACATTCCTAGAAGTGGGATCATTGGGTCAAAAGGCAGTCTCCATTTTTAATTTTTTTGAGGAACCTCCACACTGTTTTCCATAGTGGCTGCACCAGTCTGCATTCCCACCAGCAGTGCGCTAGGTTCCCCTTTCTCCACACCCTCACCAGCACTTGTTTGTTGATTTGTTGATGGAGCCATTCTGACAGGTGTGAGGTGATATCTCATTGTGGTTTTAATTTGCATCTTTCTGATGATTAATGACGTCGGGCATAGTTTCAAATGTCTCTTGGCATCTGTAAGTCCTCTTTGGAGAAGTGTCTATTCAGGTCCTTTGCCCATTTTTTAATTGGGTTGTTTGTCTTCCTCATGTTGAGTTGTATGAGTTCTTTGTATATTTTGGAGATTAACCCCTTATCAGATGTATCATTGGTATATATGTTCTCCCCTACCATGAGTTGCCTTTTCATTTTGATGCTGGTTTCTTTAACTGTGCAGAAGCTTTTTGGTTTGATGCAGTCCCATTTGTTTATTTTTCCTTTGTTTCTCTTGCCCTAGGAGATGTATTGGTGAAAATTCTGCTATGAGAGATGTCTGAGATTTGCTGCCTATGTTTTCTTCTAGAATTTTTATAGTTTCACGTCTTAAATTTAAGTCTTTTATCGGTTTTGAGTTTATTCTTGTGTATGGTTTGTGTTGGTGGTCTAGTTTCATTTTTTTGCATGTACCAACACCATTTATTGAAGAGACTCTTTATTTGACCATAGTGGCGTGGTTTGATTTCTGGGGTCTCTGTTTTGATCCATTGATTGATATGCCTGTTCTTGTGCCAGTACCAGGCTGTTTTGATTACAGTCGCTTTGTAGTATAACTTAATATCCAGTATTGTGATCCCTCCAACTTTATTCCTCCTCCTTAAGATTGCTGCGGCTATTTGGGGCCTTTTTTGGTTCCATATAAATTTTTGTAGTATTTGTCCTTGTTCTGTTAAATATGCTGTTGGCATTTTAATAGGAATTGTGTTGAATCTATAGATTGCTTTGGGTAGTATGGACATTTTAATGATATTAATTCTTCCAGTTGTTGAACATGGTATATTCTTCCACTTGTTTATATCTTCCTCTATTTGTTTTTTCAGTGTCCTCTAGTTTTTCGAGTACAGGTCTTTTTACCTCTGCGGTTTATTCCCAGGTATCTTAAATGGGATTGTTTTCTGAGTCTCTCATTCATTACTACTATGATCTTTATTGTTTCCTACTTTCTCTGGGCTTTCTTGTTGTTCTCTAATTCTTTTAGTTGTAGGGTTAGATTGTTTACTTGAGCTTTTTCTTGTTTTTTGAGGTAGGCCTGTAGTGCTGTGAACTTTCCTGAGGACTGCTTTCGCTGTGTCCCATAGATTTTGGGTTGTTTTGTGTTCATTTTCATTTTTTTCCAGGAAGCCTTTGATTTCCTCCTTGATCTCATCAATAACCCACTCATTGTGTAATAACATGCTATTTAGCCTACATGTGTTTGAATGTTTTTGAGTGTCTATCTTTGAGAATGTTCCGTGCATACTTTAGAAGAATGGATATTGTGCTGCTTGGGATGAAATGTTCTGTAAGTGTCAGGTCCATCTGATCTAGTGTCATTTAAGGTCTCTGTTTCCCTGTTGATTTTTTGTCTGGATGATCTATCCAATGATAGTGGGGTGTTAAAGTCCCCTACTATGACTGTATTGCTGTCAATCTCACCCTTAAAATCCACCAAGAAATCTTTTATATATTTAGGTGCTCCTATATTGGGTGCATGTATATTTATAAGGGTTATTTCCTCCTGTTGGATTGATCCCTTTAGTATTATGTAGTGTCCTCCTTTGTCTCTTCTTATGGTCTTTGTTTTGAAGTCTATTTTGTCAGAAATAAGTATTGCTACTCGAGCTCTTTTTTGTTCCATTTGCATGGAATATTTTTTCCTTCCCTTCACCCTCATCCTGTGTGAGTCCTTTGCTCTGAGGTGTGTCTCTTGTAGACAGCATATGTATGGGCCATGTCTTCTTATCCATTCAGCTACCCTCTGTCTTTTGATTGGAGCATTTGTTCCATTTACATTTAAGGTTTTATTCATATATACTCATTTAATGCCATTTTTCCTTCTATATGCCGATGTACTTTTCACTCTCTATTTCTTTTTTGTCTTAAAGCAGTCCTTTTTGCATTTCTTGCAATACTAGTTCCTTGGTACTGAACTTCTTTAGCCTTTTTTTGTCTAGGAAGCTCTTTATTTCGCCTTCAATTTTAAATGATAGCCTTGCTGGATAGAGTAGTCTTAGTTGCAGGTCCTTGCTTTTCATTACGTTTAATACTTCATGCTAATCCCTCCTGGCCTGAAGTGTTTCTGCTGAGAAATTTGCTGACAGCCTTATGGGGGCTCCCTTCTAGGTAACAAACTGTCTCTCTCTTGCTGCCTTTAAGATTCTCTTTGTCTTTAGCCTTGGCCATTTTCATTGTGATGTGTCTTGGTGTGGGTCTCTTTGGATTCTTCTCGATTGGGACTCTCTGTGCTTCCTGGACTTGGGTAGCTTTTTCTTTGACCAGGTTAGAAAGGTTTAGTTTTCGGTGTACAGGTTTCACACTTTTGTTAAATTTATACCTATGTATTTTATTCTCTTATCCCTACTGTAATTGGCATTATTTTCTTACCGTGATTTTCCGATTGTTCTTTGCAGGAATATAGACACAAAGCTGCTTTTTGTATGTTGATCCTTTATCCTGCAGCCTCGCTGTACTTGTTTATTAGCTCTAATAGTGTTTTTAATGCATACCTTAGGATTTTTTGTGTAAAAGATCATGTCAGCTGCAAATAGAGATAGTTTTACTTCTTTCATTTTTATCTGGATGCATTTTATTTAATTTTCTTGCCTGATTGCCTAGCTAGAACCTCTGATAAAGCCTTGACGAGACTGGAAATCCTTGTCTTATTCCTGGTATCAGGAGGGGAAAGTAGTCTTTCTCCATAAAGTATGATGCTAGCTGTATATTTTTATAGATGCCCTTTATTAGGTTGAGGCAGTTCCTTTCTGTTCTTAGAGTGTTTTTATTACAGAAGATTATATTGGATTCTGTCAGATCCTTTTTTGTGTCTGTTGAGATAATCATGTTTTTTGTTTTCTGTTTTACTATCCTGTATTACATTGATTGACTTTTAAAATATTGAGCCAACCTTGCATTTCTGGGATGAATCCTACTTGGTTATGGTACATAATCTCTTTTTGTATGTTGCTCAAGGCCAGCCATGGGGCAGAGTTTATGGCCTTCTCAGGTCTTTCATGAACGTGTGCACAACCCTATGCATGTGTGGTCTTCTAGATTTACAGGCATACATTAGAACTTTTCAGGGTCCCTATGGACGTCTGTAGATGTCCTCTGGACTATTTGCTTACTTTCCTGTTTGCTCTCTGTTATTGCCTCCCTAGGCAGTAGAGATGTTAAACACTCGATGCTGCTTTCAGTGCTAGGGATGGGGTGGCGGTGGGTGGGTGGCAGAATAGGCAGTACCCAGTGGGTGAATTCTGAAGTCAGATAAAGGCCCTGTGAATAGCATTTTCCAGGGTGAACTGTCACGTGATGGCAGTTACCTGGGGATGAGACTTTGAAGGAGCTCCAACCCCACTCTCTGTCTTCCGCAGGGAAGATTAATTTAGATGGTGCACGGAACACATTGGAGAGGAAAAAATCAGTTCACAGTTCTTTACAAATCCCAATGGAGGTAATTGCCCCGATATTTGGTAGTGGTATTGGAACTGGAGAGGAACCTTCCAACCTTATTTCATCAAGAAGGAATTGGCAAATATATTTACAGTGTAGTTATTTAATACAGCCTTTTGTTTTCTGATGGCTAAAGTTCACCGCATGTTTATCTGTAAAATATAGAAAAGCCTATACACACACAAAAGACATACCTTTTTTGGAAACACATGTTAAAGAAGGAATATTTTCCCTAAATATTATATGAAAATGTTAACTTTTGTGAAAATAGAGCCCGGCTATGAGTTTTTAAAAGGACTTATTAAAATGTTTAATAAATTGATCCCACAGTACTTTAAACGTGTTAGTTAATTTCATTCATTTTCCCTTTCCAGGTAGATGCTCGGAGCATACCAGTGTTAGCAAAGTGGCAAAACTCACATAGCATTAGAGTTGTGCTTCAGGAACTAAGACGGCTCATGATGTCCAAAGAAAACATGAAGCTCCCACAGCCGCCGGAAGGACAGACATACAGCAATTAATTTCAGTGGATCTCACACTTGTCTTAAATCAACAATCTTCTACTCATGTTAATGTCTTGATTAAATATCACAATGCAAACTACCCGCACATTAAGTCAAAGAATGCCGGCTGGTAAACATGACCTGGACGTTTGTAGGAATATATTTAATATATGTATACACGTGATGTTTTCAGGTAACAGGAGGAAAACGCAGCACCGTTTTTTTTAAGGCACTATCATTTAAACATAGACCCGGAGATGCAGGTATGGTGAGAAGGGTCAGGCAGCTGTGGGAGCATGTGCTTCTAGAAAGGAAAGATCTCGAGAAGAGAGAAATGGCATGCCGTGCCCATCCGGCTTAGTGAGAGCTGCAGTTCAGATTGTCTAAAGTAGCAGGTACAATGAATATTGTCACAGGTTGTTTTACTTTTTGAAGTGGTGTGGGTGCTGACTACCAACAGTATCAAAAATATGTTCAGGATTGTTTTGATACCTGTATTTATAATAAAAAAAATGTCGGGGAAGGTCGATGAATTTCTGTTAAAAGCTGTTTCCGTGTGTCACATGTAACAGATGTGGTAAATATTTGTTTACAGTCTTTGTTTGACAAATGATGCATTTACGTTTAAGTGAAACCAGCAAAAAGGAAATAGGTAAATGGATATGTGATTTTTGAGATTAAAGTTAGTCTTAAAATGTAAATAAAATGTGGATCGTGTTCTCAGACACTGTGCCATTTCTGTTACATTGATGTAAAGTACCTGCTGAGGTAGCAAAAATTGAATTGTTGTAGCTCTTCATCCATACAAACTTTTATTGTTTATTCTGTTTGTATACTTCCTGTGAGTTGGAATTTGCAGAGTATTTTAGAGAACAAATTAGTTTAATTTTTTCTTTGGAGAAGAAGGAATCCCAAGTATTATATTTTGACTTTGATTTCACCAGAAACACATTAAAAAGATTTTAATTATAGATTGTAAATTATCCAAATATGCACTCTATTTTTGATTCATAACATCTTTTTATTTTGGTGCCATTTTTTCTCCCAATGCGTTTAACGGGGTGGGGTAATTTTGTCCATTCCACTTGCCTTTCACTTTGGCATCTGCAGTTCTGAACAAAGTGATGAGAGGCCTTAAGTCGCTGTTTTTTATTGTGAGGCACTAAGTATAAGTACTACTTTGTTAAAAATACTCTTTTCTTATGGAGATCGCCGCACAGGATAGAAAGGTGGTCGGGTGGCAAGGACACATTCCTTAAACGTGCCCTGGCATGTTTGTCAGATCCATTCAGATCTAAGTCTTGGAGCTACCTTTTCTTGGTCATTAATATATTAAAGTTAGTGATAGTTTGTCTAAACTTTTAATTTCAACATGGCTATTCTATTTTAATTATCAAAGATGTTTAAAATGACAGAATATATAGGTACAAATTAGTGCATGTGTAATTTATTAAAATAGGTTTGAAATGAATTGTCATCTTGGAACACACTCTTAAAAGTTTTAAATTGTTAGGGGAGATTAAGTTTTCACTGATGTCACGTGCAGCATCTGATGGTCTGCCTGTCTTCCAAGAGCTGCTTTTCCACTTTGAAAATGTGTCCTGTCGTACGTGGGTGCTAGTGGCCATTGGAAGCTGTCCAGTCGCTCACCTGCGGGTGGCCTGAGAACCCGGGTACCTTTATCTCACGTGCTCGTTCTTTTTCCCGAATCCATGATTGCAGGGGTTTTTGTTGTTTTCCCCTCTCAGCACAGGCTGTTTGAGTTGGCCCTGTGGTCTTTCTTTCCCTCCTTTTGTTTGGGGACTGTGGATCTCTGCTGAAATCTGCATGCGAAAGCGAGGTCTGTCTTGCATGTCACAATCAGTATGTACATGGCAATCTCGCCGCACTGGGTGATGGCAGGAGTTCATACAGAACCACTCTTGAGTGCAGTAACTTTCTAAAACTGCAGTTCTGAAGTGATTTTTCCTTTGCTTTGTAAAGTGGCTACGGTTGTGGGAGTGTGCGGCATTCAATCAACTGTAAAATTGCCTTTGAAGCTTGTTTAAAAAGCAAGCAGGTGAGCCCTAGGGGATGATCTTATGTTAATAAAGATTTCAAAAATAAAATCTGTGTCCTGATAGGTCAGTGTTATGCTTTAATGGTTTTAATTATTTTCTAATTTTCAGAATTTTTTAAAGTATTTTAAAGTAATGGTATTTGTTACGGAGTTTTTAGAATTTTGGACATAAACATTTGTAAAGATAGTCAATGGTATTTAAGTCTTTTATGTGTAAAATACCAAAATTTATCATTTTAAATTATCCTTTTAAAAGAATTTATCACACTTCAGATTTGGATAAATAATTAGAGTGAATTAGTTTGAATACCATATAATTTATTAGTCTGGATTGCTTAATACCAATTTATTGACTTATATATTCCCCACTAAATATATATTGCTGTTGATAAATACATACAAAATTCTTTCTTTTTTTTTTTGAAACTTTAGAGGACACAGATGGAAAATATTAATGCATTTTCCTTAATAGATTTGGTGTGCGTGGCTTTGGGTGGTGCTGGTAGATGCATCATGAAATTAAAGACTTTGGTCAAAACTGCATTAACTGTTTTTTGGGGTTTTTTTTAAGTTGGTGTTCCAAATTCATTGGTTGATTCTCGTTTGGAACCTGCAACCTTGGTGTATCGAGACGATGCTCTAACCAAGTGAGCTACCCGGCCATGGCAAAACTGTGTTAATTCTCAATGAGCACATTGACTCTGTGCTCATACATTATAAGGACTATAAGTACTAATGGTAAATTGTTGTATCATGAATAATGGGCTTGGGAAGGTACTTAAGGAATTTTTTTTTCCAGATTTCCTTTTACAAATGTATTTTTTGACAGGTGTGTAGAATCATTGTACCGTTTATTGCCGGTAAGAATCTAACAGGCACTGGTTTTACTTTTTTGTAAGTGCCAATATAATTTTCCAGTACCAATTTCATTGACGTTTGGTTATTTTCACAAAAGGATTCCAACTCAATATTTTGGAATATGTGTATATTTTGTTTATAAAATGGAATTGAGTGGGTGCACTGTGTTACGGACTTGATTAGAGCATTAGCAGTAAATTCCCACCCAGTATGGTGTTTACTGAAAAGCAGGAAATGCGTGGGAATAGAATTTGTTTCATGCTAAAGTTAATATGCCTTACAGAAGTTATAAAGGGTAGATGGAGATCCTGTGGTTCATACTGAAAATTTTGGCTATTTAAAAAGTATTGTGGAACCTTGAAAATAAAACACCATCAGCATTTTCTGAAGAGAAAATTAGTGAAGGTATTTGATGACACTGGAAAGAAGTCAAAACCACCCTCTTGTCAGTAGGGAGTTTGGGGAGCTCATGGAGTGAGTACGTGATAAAAACGGTAATGGGTGTGGAAAGGTTTCGTGGCCTCTAAGTCCTTGGTAGGGTGTCCACACCCAGAAAAGCCCCTAAGGCTGTGCTGCATTTCGTTTTTACATGTGGTCCATAAGATCGATCCAGAAAAATGTTTGGCAAGTTCATTTATGAAATTAATGATAAAAGCCAGATAGATTTCACTTCCTTAATTTAGAGGGATTCCAGGAATCCTCCTTCTTCAAAGGAGCAACCGACCGATACTGCGTGAGGGTTGTGCAGCGACCCTGCCGCCAGGCGTAGGCGGGTGAGACGCCCTGTGCGTTCCCTTGTTCAGGGAGCGGCTGCTTGACACTTACCCTGGAGTTTGGGCAGCCGAAAGGTTGTATGAATGTAACTGTTCTGTCAGCGAAGGAAACTGATAGTTGGCACTAAGAAACCAACGGTAACCAGAAACCTGCCGTCAGAAAGAAAGCAAATCATGAGCTGTTGGAGAGCAAAGACTTCTAGCGACTTGTTCAGTGCAGTAGCTGACTGACTTAAAACTATTCAAAGACTGGAAGGGAGCACTGTGAGCAGTGCACTCCTCCATCTAATATGACAGCTTTAAAAAAACAGGCCTCAGCAGTGGGTAACGTACAAAGGAATCTGCAAAGTTTACATATAATGTGAGATTTTAACAGGACAGCCTCATAATAAAGGAGTAAACTTTATTACAATCTCTGTCACATTTGGGGGTGAAAAGACTCATCCTTTCACAGTCAGCAAGCCCAGCGATTATAAATGCTTTATTAAACGGGTGGGGTTTTACAGCCTTCACAGTTTATCAGCCCTTAATTTGAGGAAAAACAGATTTTCTTCACAGTTGATAAGTGACAAAATAGAAATGTATTGTTGTGCCCCTTCTCAAGCTATTTTGGCCATAAGTAAGGTGGTCAGACGACCAGATTGCATCCATTATTGTAAATTATCTTTCTATTGCTATAACTTTTTTAAAAACCTGGATAACTGTAATGGCTTTACAAACACATTTAAAATGGGTAGTGGACTTTTTCTTCTATTATCTTAATTCTTAATATTCCAGTGAAAATATTCAGTTCACAGGAAAAGTAAAATATCTAATTGCCTGAGTTTCTTAATCTTGAGTGGTATATGGATTTTTTTAAGGAGAAAAAACTCTTGTGGATTCAGTATTGTTTGGATTATTTTTGTTAAAACATTGTTTAATGCATAAAACTGTATTAATGCAAATGTATACACTTACGCTTTTATCCCTTATGAAATTAAAAGGTAGATTACATACCACACAGTAATTAAAATGTAAAATAATTTAAGATTGAGGGTGTTTTATTGAATTAATTTCTGCTTGAACTGCACATACTGGTGTTGCCTCTTGGCTTTTTTTTGTTGTTCTGTCTAGACTTTGATCTGGCGCTGGACCTCGCATTTTCTTACCTTTTTTCCCTTGGGCTTTTTCGTGTCTCTGATCTTCATTTGGTACAAGTACAGTTAGGCTGTAAGTTCACCTCTGGTCTTTTTTATTAGCCAGAGGCAGTATCTGCAGAGAACTGAACCCCGGAGTCTTGATTCCACGTTGAGATCACAATTGTTTTCAACCTTTGTGAAGAACTGAGTGGTATTGACTCATTTTGCTGTGGTCCTGGCCCTGTGTAGGAATAAAAATTCCCTAATGGTGATGGTAGAGAAGTTGATAGATTAATAACATATTTTAAAGTAGGGTAACAGTTTGGTGATGCTGTAAAACTGAATGGGGTCATGCCCCAAGCTCGGCAGTGAGGAGGGACAGCAGCGCGCCGGGGTCTCGGTATGGGAGGCTGGCACAGGTCCCAGAATGCCGGGCCTTTTCTTCCTTGAGGCGTTCCGTGCAGTGGGCTCCCGCTAAGCTCTGCTGGGTCAGGGTGAGCGGAGGGAGCACCGGGTACCTGCCCCGTGCCGTGACCCGCCGCTCGGTTTATCTCCTGCCGTGTCCGGAAGCCCGCACGGGCACAGCCTGCTGCTCCCCTGGGCACTTTCTTCTGCCCAGAACACTTCTTGTGACATGTGGTGTCTGCTAAGTGCAGGGAGGGCGGGAGAAAGGCCAAAGCCTAAGGACCCTTTCCTGACGTTTACTGGGTCCCCACAGTGTTCAGACGCGGCACTGCCTGTCCCAGCAGGCGGGCGCGAGCAGGTGGCAGGAGCATCTCGACGCGCTCCAGCCCGAGCCGCTGCGCGACCTGCTCGTCGCTCGGGGCAGGCTGCCCTCGTGCCCGACCCTGGGTCACGTGGTGGTGGGCCCCACCGGGCCCCGACTCGTCCTGTGACGGCTTCGGCCCCAGCGGTGTGGACCCACCTTGCTGAGCTGTGCGCTGGGACAGCGAGTCGCGGTTCACGGATGAAGGAGGGCGAACAGCTGTTCCCAGTAACAGTAATGACGCGATTGCCGGACAAACATCTCCGCGGTGATGCATGGGAACGCCGAACCCAAACCGCACTGTTTAGCTTTGCCGCCAGTCGGGGGCAGCGCCACAGCCCCTAAAGTAAATGGGAGAGATCATAGTTTAGAAAACACGACAGCGCTGAAAGCTTAAAGCTGTGTCTCACGGTAACATCTTTCAGAAGAAAACTGTACGCAGGGGACTGTATACATATTTCCACGGCGCTTTATTAGCTTGGAGTTGCCCTAGGCCAGAAATGGAGCCCGGTGGCCATGAGTCAGGCGGCCGCAGGCAGGACAGGAGATGGGACACTGCAGCAGCCACCGTGGGAAAGACACGGCAGACGAGGTATGCATCCGACCCTAGGAGCCCATTTTGGTGTGTGATCCTCACCTGAGGATATTTTTCCATTGTTTTCTAGAGAGTGGAAGGGGGAGTAGAGAGAGAAACATCATAGGTTGACACTCAACCACTGAGCCACACCGGCTGGCCAGCCTCGTGTGCTTACAGCTCCGCGGCGTGGCGTGGTTTGGACATAGTGCCCTCTGTCTAACCCTAACCCTCCCGATAGGCTTGTAGGTGGTTTCTGGCCCCTCTGCGTGAACAGTGCCGCTGTGAACAGCACTGTGTGTGTGTGCGTGTGTGTGTCTGCACATGTGTGAGATTTCCCCATCGCTTTCTGAATCAGAATTAGGGCCCAGGGTCAGAAGAGCCTTGTGAAACGGCTTCGGTTCTAAGTGCCCTGGGACGGTGCACAGCTGGCTGAGGTCCTGGGGCCGTAGAGCACGCCCGGTGGCTGTGTGGCCCCAGGTGCCGCCCAACTTCATCAGGCCGGCTGGCTTCCCGGGGTGGACCTCGGCTGCTTCCTCCACGGGGGATGCGAGGCTTTGGGCCGTGTCCTGCGGGCGGGCCACCGGGTGGGGGCCTCCCTGGCCTGCTGGTGGGAATGGCCCAGGACGCAGTACAGCACAGATTCGTAATATTAGCGACTCTTCATCAATCTGGCCGGACCAAAGCCAGCTCTCCAAACAAACATTTCCTGCGTGAGCCCCGCGTCTGCTGTGCTCCCCTCTGTTTATGATGACCGTGTCAGCCGCACTGATCTACATAAACACTGCCAAGCCGGGATGCTGCACTCTCCACAGAAGTAGCTGAGTGCAAACAGCATTCCTCAGCTTTAATTCATATTTTCTAAACATTGACGATGTTGATAAAACGAGCCAACAGGAAAATGCAACAGAGGAGACCCTTTCAAGGGGGGATCTTGATTAAAATGCGTTCCAGATTGACGAAATGTTATGATATTAATGAAGTGAATCCCTTCATGTCCTCTTTGGCTCCTGCAGGACCGTCAAGCAGGCTGGACTCGAGCGTTTGCAGATCACGGACCCTGCGTGTACGAGATGGTGGCATACGCATGTGTGATGGGCCAGGTCTGTTGTCCTTGCGCATCCATCGCTTACTAAGTTTATTTCTGCAGACGCTGTGGTGCTGTGTCGCAGCCCTAACCGTGGCCATCGTGTTGGGGACAAGGGTGGCCTTTGCCGTCCCTGTGAGTCACGCTGGTCCGTGAGACAGGGCCCAGCGCTGGGACAGTCTCGCGCCCCCCCCCCCCATGGGCCAAA